GGGGGCGCCCGCCGTATTCAAGGATGGTCCACGACAGTATCGTCGCCGTGAAAGCCATCGGAAAACCGAACTTTATATGATCTCCGGCGTCGTACATTCCCTTCGACAAGTCTACCTTTTCTTCTCTTCCATCTCTCAAACCCGAATCGCCTCTCCACGAGATCCTGTTCTTCACCAGCTTCCCCGCTGCAAACAAACAAACAAAAAAAAACATCGCATGGAATTGAATATAATCAAGATTCATAAAAAAAAAATCACAGGATTTTAGAGTTTATATATTAGTACTTTTTTTTATTTGGTTTAAATTTCGGTATTACAATTCATGAGTTATAATGTTTTTCTTTATCAAATTAAGAATTTCATTAAAAAAACTATAACATTCTTTGTTTATCAATAATAAGAATAATATAATTAAAAAAATCACATATAAATACTTTATTTTTAAAATGTGTTAATTAAATACTTAAAATCAATGTTAATTTCCAATTTTTCCTATGATATATGAATAATTTATGCAAACAAATCCTTAAAGATAATTATGATAGGATATATAACGTTTTTTTAAAGATGAGTCGTGTTGTCATAATATTCACAACAATTTATCGGAAAATTTCAATAATTCTTTTGATCTTATGATTCGATATTGAAAATTATCATCGATTTCATAAATTACAGTATCAATTTGAAACATTTTAACATTTGGGCATTTGGAGTATAGAAATTAAAAGTGCATACAAATTATTTAACACATTCTAGAAAATTGAGTTATTTTATGGGATTTTACCTAATAATAATAACAATTATACGATAATTTGACAGGTATGGAAAGGAGAAATCGATTTCATTACATCTTTGAACGTCGAAGAACTCGAGAGCGACGGAGAGAGCGTCGGTGTACTCAGGGCGGAGGTAACCTCCGGCAGGATTCCGGTGGGTTTCACCGGAGTTGGGACTGAGTTTCTTGTGGATAACGTAACCAATGGCTCCAAGTGTTGAGATCAAAACAAGTGTTACCAAAAACCACCTGCAACAACATCCTCCCATATTTTTCCTCTACTTTTAGATGATTTTAATCTCTTCGTTAGGGTTCCCCTTTTGCTTTTGATTGAATCATTGATGGCCCGCAACGTGATGTTGGAATAGTTCTTATTTTTATTATTATTATTATTATTATTTTTGTTTGCGAAAATTGGATGCACGTAGGAGAGAAAGGGGCACGTGGGTTGCTCTGATTGGCTGAAGCAAGCATTATGGTTTATTGTATAATGTTATCATCTTTTCAAGTCAAATAGCTATTTTATTAAATCTGCGTTTGCAATACATTTCATATATCTACACGCACCACCGAATCCAGGAAAAATTATAATCGGGGCAATAGTAAGTTTAATTATAACTGCACTTTGGGGTATTCATATAAATTTTCTCTCTTCTTAAAAGATTTAATTGGATCGAAGGTACTATTAATTTTTGAATTATAAAAAAAATTATTATAATTTTTAGGAACATGGGGAAATTTGACAATTTTTACTTAAAATTTAGAAATTTTATAAACATAATTATTTTTTAAAATTATAAGAATGGGGTATAGGACCCCATTGCTAAAGAATTGGGCCCGCCCACGTGAGTTATATATTACAACTCTTGGGTATATAATATATGGGTTCGAATTGTTCCATAGAGTAATTAATTATGAAAAAATCGTATCCAAAATATAATCGAATGGTGTTTAGTTTGGGTTTTGCCCTTAGACTTAGGCGATGGCCATGGATAACTGTATTATAATATTTTAATTTGAAAGACATGTATGTTATTTAAGTTAAATATTTGCAATTTTTCTAAAGAGAAATACAAGTTATACGTATTATCTGTCGCTAAATAGAGTGAATTTTTGGTTTCGTTTGGTACAAAACAACAACAACGTAAAAATAATCTCAACGATAAAATGGTACGTAGGCGAAGTAAACAATGGGCTTTTCTTAATGAAATTATTTCAATATTTCAAACCATTCTAAAGCGCGGAATCCAAATTTCTAAACTCTATAAAATTATAATTTCTTTTTGAAATAAAAAAAAAATCAAAATCTAATAATCAAAATTTTACTAAATTTGTTTTTTTTTTCTGTTTATGTTTTTATGTGTCTATACAAGGAAGAAAATCTACCCATTATAAATACATTTGAAATTTGGGTTTCAATGATTTACCAAATTTTTGTGATATAGTATTTGGATTGTGATATGTTGTTTCCAATTCTATTAATGGAAAATAAAAAAGAAAAGAAAAACGTGCAACCAATAAAAAATGAATACGATTCGATTAATCTATTTTTTTTAGATTGTCGAAAACCAAACTATTACAAAAACTAAACCCCATCAATTCGTTACAGTTAGAGTTAATTAAATTAGATAGGAAAAAGATTATTTATGAATAAATAAATTGACCCCATTTCGAATTAATAATTCACTACAAAAAAAAGAATTAATAATTGTTACGTATATTCACTTCTTAGAGTAGTTTGAAAGGAAGCTTAGGATACGGATGTAAAAGAATCTTTCTAGAAGATATCATGCAATTTCCACGTGAGGAGGACATAGTAAAAAGAAGTCACTTTTTGCTATATAATTAGTTATATAAAGTGTTAAAGATGAACAAAAAAAAAAGGGAAAGAAAAGAAGGAAACAAAGCAAGGAATTAGCTGAAGAACAAAAAAGAGATAAGAAAAGAATTAAATATCAAAATATTTAAATAAGCAAATTATACTGAAATAAATCTCATACATTTGAAAACAAAAAACAAATAATAATAATAAAAAAAACTAATTGACTCCGACACAGTAATTTCGAGTAATTAGAGGGGTATCTACGTAAACCTGCCCATTTAAGTTGACTTTGTTTTACCAAAATACCCCTACAGATTTCGAATTTTGCGATCCTGCAAGCGTCACGAGGGAGGGCAAAACAGGGAAAATAAATACAGAAGAACAAGAGTGGGCGACTGACCCGGGAAGCAATCGTCTACAGTGACATATAACCGGATGGGTTGCTTACAATAACATCCGACCGTTGGATAAAGTTAATCTATTTTAGAAAAAAAAAATCATATATCAGGATTCAAATTTATAAAAAAAAAAAATTCAGATAATAAACAAACTCTAAAATTTTCAAAAAATTATACAAATATTTCTTAATTTTAAATTAAGACCTTAATAATTTAATAAACACCATATCATATTGATATTTGAAAAGCATTTAATAAGTTAAGATTTCATTTTATGATACTTTTAAAAAATAATCTGAGTGTAATATAAAAATTAGAAAGAGTTTATGTCTGAAATTTATATATTTCTTTGATATTTTTTAAAAAAAGCGCGTAACACTGGATAATTACTCCTCCTCGTATTTATGGAACTCAAATCGTCATTTCTACGGACATGATTGTTAGGCACCACACAGAAAATCCGAAACGAAGCGGTTAATGTGCGTGAGGGCGAGAGAGAGAGATAGAGGACTTTTAAATTGACGACGGAGAATTTTTTTTCCTGCGCTCACTCGTTGTTTTCTCTCTCCGAAATTTCGCCGGGTTTTTTGCTCCGCCGCCGCAGCTATTCGCCGGCATATATCGTCCACTTGACATCTGGTGGTAACTCTTGTTTTTGCTCCGGCGAAGTTTCCGATCCCTAGAGTTTGGTCTGTTTTGCTGTTCTCTTCGTTTCAGTTTCCGATAATCTGAGAAAGAGGTACTTGCGGCTGTGATTTTCTCTGTTTTCCCGCTTGTGCCCAATTAGCTCGATCCTTTTCCGTATTTTTGCTTGTTTTGATCGGTACCAGAATCAGTGATGGTGGTTTGTGATTGCTTAATCTGATTACTGTAATCCGTGATGTTGGTTTAGCTGATTATAGTCGAGGTCTTAGGTTCGCTAATTGAGGATAGTAATAAGCCTCAGATTGTGATTAAATTCTCCAACGTTGTTGGCTTGTTCGTCTGGTTAGCAGTGATGCCAAATCCGTTTCGTTCACGTAATTTGGTCTGATACACTCTGAATGCAATTTTTGTGGTGATAATCCGTGTTTGGGTTTTTCGATATTCGTGTGGTTGCAGTTGAAGTTTGAATTTTTTTTCCTGTATGACCGCTTGTTGTTTTGTGTAATTTGATTCTGTATTGTGTATCAGTACCTTTCTTTCTTGGTTGATTTCCATTGCCTCTTGTCATTAACTCATAAATCGTTGGACTAAGAAAATACAAAATTTATCATATCCTTCCTGTCTTCTCTCTCCTTAGTATAATCAGTTCTATTGCGATTCTCTGCTGTGCTTCGGATTGTAGTTTGGTTTAGCCTGAAGCTATTGTCTAGTTCTTTTGAGTTCATGATCTATTTGTTTACCGGACAAAGGCAGCTCGATGGTAGCCTTTCCAGAATTTAGCGTAAATTTGTTAATGTAAGCATATAATACAATTGGGATACAAATTTGAGTTTCTTCATGTGATTTTACATTTCAAAAACCTTGCCAATTATTCATCTTTACAAATTGGAGTTTCCTTGATGGCTTTTCCTCTGATTGTGCTTTTACCATGATTACTGCTTGTTTTCGTCAATGCTCACTTCCTTACCATCAGTGTCGTCGGTGACTGCTTTCTTAACCACTGAAATTATTTTTTTATTTATTGCTTTTTGTTTTCAGTTGTACAAGATGATTGGATCTTTTCTTACGAGAGGACTGGTGTATGGTTCCATACTTAAATCTCCTTCAGTTTGATTCTAATATGTTGCGATATGGGAGTATGTATTGATTAGCTTCCCACATACTGGCAGGATGGTTTTTGGATACGCATATCCTGCTTATGAATGCTACAAGACTGTTGAAAAGAATAAGCCTGAGATTGAGCAACTTCGCTTTTGGTGTCAATACTGGTATGTTTGTCTTTTGCGCCTACCATTTACGAAGTTACCTGCAGACGTTACATTTCTTTTATTTTAAAAGGTTCACTTAATTATGTGGTTACAGGATATTGGTTGCTTGCTTGACAGTTTTTGAGAGAGTTGGTGATGCTTTTGTTTCATGGTAGGCATGCAAAACCAAGTCATTTTTGGTCCTCCACGGATCTGCATTTCGTTCTTTTGTATAAGTTGTCTGTATTCTCTTCTTGAAGGGTTCCAATGTACAGTGAAGCTAAGTTGGCATTCTTTATATACCTGTGGTATCCTAAAACCAGGGTAAGTGTCTTTTGATTGGAGAAACATGTCACGACCGATACCTGGTCTTCCCTTTGTGATGTTTTTTTTTTGCTTGGATCTATTCAGGGCACTACCTATGTCTATGATTCCTTCTTTAGACCGTATGTTGCAAAGCATGAGAATGAAATAGATCGTAACTTGCTGGAGCTTAAGACAAGGGCTGGCGATATGGTTGTTATATACTGGCAAAGAGTTGCAAGTTATGTGTCGACCAGGATCTTTGAGATTTTACAGTATGTTGCCGCACAATCAACTCCAAGGCCACAACCACCTCAGGTATGACAGACACAGCTGAAAACCTCAGAAACTCGTCTCAAATTCTCAATTCGTCGACTCCTTTGTAAACGTTTTAGTCGTATATTCTCTCAATTAGTTTAAAAGAGATATCTTGGGTTACTGGTCCAGATACGATATGTTTACATTCATAGTACCAATTTTATGAGTATTAGGCATTACCATTAGACACTATCGAGGGCAGATGAGTTGATTTGTATTGCTCTGTTTGCTTTTTAATCTTGCATCATGTGCGCATCTTTTTGTTACGCAGAAACAAGGCCTGGGGGCTAAGCAAAATAAAGCGCTACAATCAACGTCCAAAGAGCCACAACTACCGGTATCTAGCTCGTCAAGTGAATCCGAAGATGACGAGGTCGCCAAAAAGGCACGTCTACCGAAACCCGAGACTTCAACCTCTGAACCAGCATCGGATTCCCAAGACACCCAAACCATCCAAAAATCAATCTCTGCCCCCATTCCGAATCCAACCCAATCGATTCCTCCAACCAAAGCTGAACCAGTGCGGATCGAAAAATCCGTGGAATCTCCATCCGAACAGAAGGATAATGAAAACTCAAACTCGACGCCTCCGAAGGAGACGATCATGAAGGAAACGATTAGAGTCACTCGTGGGAGACTGAGGAAGACGCATTCGGCGGAGAGCCGCTAAAGCAAAAAGGTAAGCGAAAGCTTTTTTCTCAGTTCTTTCATTGACTGTTTCTTTTCTTGTTTCTTTTCCCTGAATGCTTATGCATTTAGAATCACAGTAAATAAATTGGATTTAGTCTTTCGACGTTGATCTGTGAAAACTGTTATTTATTATGTTTCCTTATAATGCGGAGAAGACGGTAGTTTGTAGGATAGTTGGAACTTGACGTTCCTTCCAAAATTCCGATACGGAGGAGAGAGAGAGAGAGAGAGAGAGAGAGAGAGAGAGGATTCAGGAAAAATTATTAATAAAGCCCGTGTATCAGAAATGAAGTTTAAACGTGGAAAAAAGATTTTTTTTGAGTCCAGATTATAGACATTCTACATGGAATCCTAATATAATAAAGAAGGAACATAGAAGATATCCAGACAGAGAACCCAGCATTAGGGCAAAAACAGCCAAACAAGAAACAAATACGGAGAAAGAGAGAGAGAGAGAGAGAGAGAGAGATCATCGACGTGAGAATTTACTTCAATTCTTTTCTTTAATTTTTTGTTTTTTATATTAAATTTTCTTTGCAATATAAGCTAATTAGTTGCACTAAGTACTGCTTTTCAAGAGTTGGACACATGCGAACAAGTATAACCATTATCCTCCAATGCGAATTGGTGCATTACGAGAACCGATAAAACAATCTCGGTGAGACTGCGTCGTCCGACATGGAAGCAAACAGAACCAAAACAATAAAAACGAACCACAACATGGATTATGAGATGACAAAGAAACAAAAAAACAATGTATGGTAACCTTAAACTCACGTCAGCGAGAGTTTTCTCGAGCAGTTACAAGAATCAAGAGCTGGAGATTCTCGTGCCGCTGAGGACGTAGCCTCCGAAAGAACTCATCTGCATGTGAGGGTGTGTTCTTGAAGGAAGTACCTGCATACGTACATATATGAAGACCCTTTTCGAATGACGATAATCTCGGGCAAACCCATGATTTTATCGTATAAAAAACGATATGAAGTGAGAGAGACAGATATAAGACCTGATATTCGCGAATCCACGGTTCTGAGATTTGCAGATTGATGGCCATCTTCTCCTGCTGAAGGTTGTGCATGCATGTCGCAAGCGGCTGCAGTTTCAGAAGCACACAACAAACGAGTTACACACAACCTTGTCGTGAAATGATTCAAAAGGGAGTTTCATGTTTGGAACCAATTTACCTGCAAGTATTGATGATAGATTGCGAAAGGGGCAGAGTAGGAGAGCAGTGGCAACAGATCTTTAGCTAGGCTCCATGCATCTTGCTCTGGTGCCGCGATGATTAGACTGCAAAAGCAGGAAAGCCCGTGTTTGAATTTTGAGATCATTCATTGTGATCCACCGGCTGAAAAAAGTCAAAAAATGGATCGAACATACCTAGAGAAGCCGTTCTCTTTCCACATCTGAACTGCTTCTTTTGATGCCTTAGCTCCAGCTTTTGGAGCTTTGCTAACTTTGCTCGCCGGAAAAGTCATCTCTGGGACAGTATCCACTGTCTCTTCAGAGGTCAGGGAGATCTCTTTAACGTTATCAGATGTAGATATATCCTGCATCAGTGTTAAGACTTCTGTTTATAATTAGGAGACTGAAGATTGTCAAATTGGACTAAGGTCAACAGTGAGCCACATGCCTTTACAATGTTCTCGGTATCGGGAGCTCCACGTTGGTTATTCTCCTCCAGTGTTAGAGCTTCCGATGAAGAGAGGTCGCTTAAGGACGAGCGCACAATCCTTCATCCAAAGAAAGTCAAAGAACGATATATGACTTCACATACCGTTGAAAGGAAACAAGAAGCTTGAGAACATGATGCATATTTCATGTGGAGAATAATTCTAGATGGCCATCCACAAAGACAATATGACAACGAAATCATCTTAATTTTCAAAGTACAGATAGAGAAGACTTGAAGACGAATATACCTCTCCAAGACACCGTCGCTAAAGTTAAACATCCTTACTATTTCCAGAGGATACGGGGAGCTTCCTCTGTAAGTGTTGCAAACATAACCAGTGCCTGTTTATTAAGCAAATGAATTTAGAAAACAAGAATGATCGGAACAACGAAAGAGAAAAATCCAGATTAAATAAGACTTCTTCTAGCTGGAAATTATCTTCCAACCAGATTTGTGCATATTGCATAATGCAAGTTTCCACTAAACAAAGATACTAATGAACAACAGTGAGAAATTTGGAGTATATCATAGTTTTCAGTCCACAGTACCTAGAAGGAACATAACATTACATGGTAATAAATACTGTACCTCCTAAACGTTCAGCCACGGCACCAGTGACAAGACCACCAACCATATCGACCAAAAGAACATCTGAATGCGCGGTGACATTGGCCATTGATAACAGAAGAGATAATGCATCTATTCGCAAGAATCTAAAATGCAGAAAAGGGCGAGAGTAAACAAACAGAAAATCTTCTGCATCGGCTAAAAAGTTGTGATATGTTTTTATAATGTAAGAATGCAAATTCAAATCTTAGAGGGAAGAGGATGAAGGAGGATATCTCAGTTCTTTAAGCAGAAAGGAGCTATCGATTAGAATAACATAAAAGAATAAGAATAGGCCTTCATCCTTGCAGGGTCCTTACCCAATTCTAACTGGGTATTTCTTGAAGTAGGCTTCACATATGCTGGCAGTCATAATAAATGAATAGAAATCAGAGAAACTGGAGAAGACAGATGAGGAAACAAGACAAAGATACAACGACATGAAATAAGAATTAACAGCGGAGACAGAAATCCGGAAATTACCTTCGAGCAAAAGGACGTCTTATAAGCACCTTTGGCGCATATTTCTTCTGCTTTTTGAGCCTATATTTCTCCTGCACCACAAAACCAAAAGGACTACTTTTTAAGTATTCTTCGCTTAGATTTCCGTTTATGAAGGAGCTTGAAACCAATTAGTCTACCTGCGAAAGCTGAAATTTCTTTTCAAACGTTTTGCTATTTGCAATGAGAGCTTCAACAATTTCATCCCCTTTTGCTCCCTGTCTAAAACACGACACGAAAAGTTGGCAAAACTTCATATGAGTATGACTGTTCATAAAGAAACACAAACCATACATACATGAAGTAAAAAGGCCAAACAAAAAACAAAGTTTTAAAAAGCCGCAAGTCCTCTCACCTACGCATGGCTTCAATTTCTTCACCGGTAAGACTCTGAGCTTGATTGTTATCAACGATTTCCCTGTTATCTCTTGATTCATCTATCAGCAATCCATCCCCTTCATTCTGATTATTGCTCTCTGGATTAAACAAAAAAAATCATAAGGAATAACATTAAAATGAATCATAAAGACCAGTTTCTTGAACATAAACAAGTAGGTAATATAGAAATCTCCGACTAGAGACCACTGGCAACACACATAACAAACAGCGATTATTCTTCAAAACCTTGCGCAAAGAACACAACTTCTGGTATGAGCAAACCATCAAATTCAGACAAATGCAACAACGTAGCTCGAATCGAAACAGAGCAATTTCAGTAGAAAACAAACCTTCTTTTGTCGGTATAACGCGAGAGAGACATGAACCTTTGGTCTCATTCTCAACTTGAAACAGAGACCCGAATGGAGCACCGATCAATGGCTGCAAAGAGTAATTCTTATTCCCAATTTTCAGCTTCCTGCAAAAGAAAAAAAAAATCAAATAGCTTTTTTAATAAAATGGAGCGAAGAATGTAGAAGAGAAGTAACTGAGAAAATACAATCGGAAAAACTCACGCGCCGCCGGAGAGACGAGCGAAGACGAGGCGGTCGCCGTCGTTGATATCAAGCAAAACGCTGCAACCATCCCAAGTAACTCTGGGGTTAGGGTTTCGATCTGAATCGTGTCGCGAGTTACTCTCCGACATGATTGATCCCTGTTGAGCTTGAATGAATGAAATCCAAGGGGTCGGACAAGCACAAGAAGCGGATTCTTATGGGACACTCGAGCAGCTAATGTGAATTTGTCTCTGTTAAACCCTAGAAACCAAACATTGTTACTGCCATCAACCAATCACCAGTTAGCTTGTGCGTTTTAGAACTCTGTAAAACCCTAGAAATAAAAAAAATATATGAGCGTTAATTTAAAAAAAACTGAGTTAATAGGGGGCATAAGTAATATCGGCCGCGTATTTGTAATATACACTTTCTTGACCATTGAATTCCGTTAATTAAGATTTTAAAAAGTTAATTAAGAAAATTTCAGAGATATACGAATTTTTTAAAACATATTAAAAAATACGTGAATTTCTTTTATTTCAAATAGAAATATATCGTTTTCTAAAATGTCACAAAATTACACCAATACCAAAAACAATTGCCAATTTCCTACACGTTTTATGTTAAAATCTAATAGATTCTGTCCCAAAAATCTGATGTGGCATACAGTTAAGCTGTTTTTCTCCCCAATTAGGGGACATGCCACATTTTTTTAGCCACATAAGCAAAACAATCAAATTAAAAAACCACGTCAGCAAAACAATCAAATTTAAAAATCAACCGGTTTTGACCGGCTCAGAAACGATTAAACCAGTTTGTTCGATCGATCGATCGAAATTAAATTAAATTGATAATCGATTTGAACGATTCACTTGACCCAAAAGTATGTGTTATTTAAGTGATCAATTGATCTATTAATATTATTTTTATTTATTTATATTAGGAAAAACATATGAAGGTTAAAAAAAGGATTGGTGAAGAAAATGAAATGTTTATAATACATGTATACATATATGACATTGTTCCAATAAATAAATCATATGGTCGTGTCGCAATACGTTAAAAAATTGAAGGGCAAAAAGAAGAATAATATAAATTTGAGAAAATAGTCAAAAGATTAAAAAAAAAAAAACCACAAATCAAAACCTTCTGAGCGAACACGAAGGTCTCTAAACAGAGACTGCTGAGAAAATTCGAACCCAGAGGAGAGCCGAGAAAACGAAAGAAAAGGGAAGAAAGGGGCAGAAAAATCATTTGATTTGTCTTCTCTGATTACCGAGAAGTTCTGCGGAAATCTCTGCTCATTCGTTGTCCCCTGAAAATTCCAAGAAAATGGTACTGCAATTATCGTGTTTCTCTCTGTTTCCTGTGCATTTGATGCTCGAACACTATCCTTGATCAATCTTTGTCTATGTGCCGTTCTCTTTCCAGATCCGGTTCATCTTGTTGCAGAACAGACAAGGTAAGACTCGTCTTGCCAAGTATTATGTTCCTCTCGAGGATTCCGAGAAACACAAGGTCGAATACGAGGTATTTTTCATTTCTCTTTGACTCTCTTTATTTTATTGACCCCTTTCGTTTTGGACCCGTTTCGGATCTGGTCGATGTGATCTTATCGCAATATTATTTCTGAATTATGTTGTCTGATTTCTCATAATTTTTTTCCAGGTTCACAGGTTGGTGGTGAATCGCGACCCCAAGTTCACGAATTTTGTTGAGGTTGGTGGTTTAGTTTTTGATTATGATTTCGTTCAACGAATTTAGGGTTTTCCATGTTTGGGGAAAGTGTTTATCTTACCTTATTTTGTTCGATTTCAAGCGAAATAAGTTCATTGAACTATAAAATTTGCTTCAAAAGGATCATCATTGAGCTGATAATATGGATGTTACATTGTTTAAATCTTTTTAAACCAAGTTAAGCCCGTTGAACTACACATTTGCTTCAATAGGATCAAACAGATGATTGTTACAGTCAATTGAGGTGTAGATGCTTCAAAACAAGGGCTTAAGATAGATTGGAACAAAACATTCGAGTGAATTTCAGTTTTCTTTATCTATTAGATCGCCGGTGTCAAGATGTTTTAGTTATGCCATGTTTATATACTTCTTTATCAAGTTGAAGGGACACATTATCTCACTTAGATGCTTAGAATCCCTAGTTGTGTAAGAAATCCTTGTTTATGTTCGAAGATTGGAAGATGTATGACTTGGTGTTGCAGATATTTGCCTGTGGATATGTATTTTAGTGGTTTCAATTTCATGCCCTTCTTTCCACATCATCTCATTTACAAGTAAGTTGTTGTTGTTTTTTCTGCAATCTTTTCAGTTTAGAACACACAAGGTAATATACCGGCGATATGCGGGGTTGTTTTTCTCGCTGTGTGTTGACATAACGGACAATGAGTTGGCGTACTTGGAGTGCATCCATTTATTCGTGGAAATATTGGACCATTTCTTCAGCAATGTCTGTGAGCTAGATTTGGTTTTTAATTTCCACAAGGTATGCAGCATCATTTGTTGGGTTTATCTTTCGCTTAAGTTCTGAAACGGCATCGGGATCTTCAGATCTCAATTCTCTGTGGGTTCTAGTATTGAGTCCTGTTCGCAACACGAGATTGTGTTTTCCATACGAGTTTATATGCAATTAGCTGTCTTTCTGGTTCATTTAGGGATAAGATGCATTTGATAATCAGAGAGCATTTTAGAAATAACTGCTTCAGTCATCTTGCAAACCGGCTTTCTTTTTTTGGCACATCACGAACACGGATTTTGAACCCTATGATTTTCTCTGTTTGTTTCTTGAAATTGCTTTGGAAAAAACGAAACAACCGTTGAGGGGCTTTCTGAGATTTTTTTTTCTTGTTCTTCCACTTCTCATTGCAAATTCTCCCAATTCTGGCTTGACCTTTATGGCTCGTTAGGTATGGATGTATTGCTGCATCTGCATCGGATAACATCACTGCCTACTTCCCCTGTATTCGCCTCTAAATAGGCGATAAGTGCATTAATGCTATTTCTTTGTTCAATCCTTGTTTAAGCTCTAATATTTACTTCTAACGCCCCCACCCAATGATTTCATGGAAGGTTTATTTGATACTTGATGAATTCATCCTAGCCGGGGAACTTCAAGAAACAAGCAAAAGAGTATGCACCTCTTACCCTCAAACTTTTTCCTTTTCAGGAAAGTATACTGCAGACTGGTTCTGGCCGCGAAAACGTTAATTTCCTCCCCACTTTGATCGGAATTTCCTTTTCAGGCAATCATCGAACGGATGGCGGAGCTTGAGAAGCTTGAGTGATCGAAATTTCCTCACGTCGTCAGTCCTCCAGGGATTTCCGGCTTCTCCCTCATCTGTGTATCGTCGTTTTCTCTTCTCTCTTTTTAACATGTGTGGGCTGGCTGGTTTGATGACGATGATGATCATGACGAGAGACGAGATGTGTTTTTTTTTTCTTTTTCTTTTTTTGGCGAAATTTGATTGCGTATATCATGTTATGTTCGACTGTTGTTATGTTCAAATATCTTTTTTTTTTAAAAAAAAATTGAACTCAAGACTGCAATTCGCATTGAATGTCCTCCGAGATGAACTAGTGAATAGTGAATTAATCATCGAGAGTTTTTTATTATTATTATTGTTATTGTTTTTTGTCCAAAAAGTAAAATGAGCGCTATAACATAAAATCCCATAAAATTCTTGAATTTGCAAAATGATGAAAATCTAATATCTAAATTTTTTATTTGATAAATTTATTTTTGAACTTATAAAATTAATCATTATAATTATCAATCTTATGAAATGTATCAATTAATAAAATTTAGAAATGATAATAACATATTTTACAAATATCAAACGAAAAGTTTAAAAATTAGTTTTTTATTATTTTGTAAGTTTAGAAATTTTAATAAATTCTTTTTTATGGAGACACATCAAATAGGTTATATGACTCCTACCTTATGTCGGACAACAAACCAAACTAATGAAATTGTAATGTCAGATTTTGTAGACAATGGTATTAATCTGAGGATTATATTTTTTATAGCGCTGGAACCAGTAGCGGACCTAGAACAAATTCTAAGTGGGGGTAAAATTAAATTTAGCATGTGATAAATATAATTTACAATGGGGGTATTTATAAAATTTGGTTAAAATGTGACCAATTTCATAAAAGAATTATAATTTTTTAATCAAACCAATGGGGGCATATGCCCCCATTCTTCTCCAATTGGGTCCGCCTATGGCTGGAACCCAACTGTTATCTTTCGGACGTATTGGACGCATTGGATGTGCTCGTCGACTCGACTCTGTCCAACCTATTTTTTAAGGTCAAACTTACTAAACCTAATTCGGTAAAATATGGGTTAACTCACGAACGGATTTACGAGTTAATCCCATTTTGACACCTCTAGGATCGAATACCCATAATTTCAAGTACTCAAAAGAATGAAATACACGATTGTATAACGATACCGGATTACCCAATGTTTTGGGTTCAGATAATAAATATTATATCACGGGTATCCGATCGATACAAACTTATCTTTTAAATTTTATGATTTAAATGTATTTACGAGTATACTTTTATGTATATAACTTTCTAAAATGATTATTTAACTCATTATCAACACATTTTATTTTTATTCATAATTTTTAATTAACCTCTAACATTTATTTTATATAAACGACAGCTTTTAGATTTTATGTTAATGATTATACTTTGATAGATTTGTGACATATTTTTAAAATTTTACACGTATTATAGATGCAATTATGCTAAGAATAGAAACAATTAAGCCTATAAATAAGGAAACTATATAACAAACATATTACAGAAGATATCATTCCATTAATGAGTGCAATAAAACATATATTTAGAGTGCACTCATTTGTGATAGAGCGCTATACATGTAAATTACCATCTACATGGTAAAAACGTTATACAGTTTTTATGGCAAGACACTACTATGTTTATTATACGGTACTATTATGTAGAGAGTGTAGTATATACCAAACATACACGCCCCGGTAAATATTTTTACCCATAATAAACATATATAATAGGAATACACGCTATGTATAAACATTGATCATACAATGCGTTAAAAATGTTAGAGTAAATACATGATCGAAATATAGGTATAAAATACTATACGGGTATTTAACTAAACATAAGTGTCTATTTACATCGAATTTACATATTTTGATTCAATATGTATATGTAGTTTGGGTATCATACATATTTATCCATAACATCACAGAGGTATATTAATTCTTTTATGTACCCATGTTATGTTTGTGTAAGTGATATATAAATATGCTTACACATATCATGCTTACATCTAAATAAATGGATGTTTATATATTAACTAACTATATAAACATATTGTGTTATGATAAACATATTACAAACACTACGATTTTATGATCCAAACATTGACTTGTCTATATAACTTATAATTATACATGTTTATTATGGTATCCAGATATTATGATCCATAATAACGCATTTTGTATAGATATTATTGTACTCCAACATCATAGAGAGTGTAGTTTAAACATGTAATGTATAAAATGGAGTTACGTTTAAATCAAACATATAGATAATTACCAATTTATACTTATGTCTATACATATAGTGCAATAAAACACAGTTCAATAACATGTTTGTTTATGCTAATCTATGTGCGCACAATTTACCCATTTGAGTATGCACTTTATACAATAATGTATCATACTATAATATCATGCTACCACATGGATTAAGTATATTATATCTTAGGAGTACATATACCCATATGTACGGGGTTTGAACGCACTCTTTTATAATGTTAGAATTAATAGTACCAAACATTACCATGTTTATTTGAACTAATAATTTTATATAAATTATTACAATATGTATACTCTAAATCATATAAAAAATGAGTAATATCGCGTACATGCTATACATATTTAACATTTAATATTACGTTTTACAATCGTATATTACGGGATGTTTGTAAATTACCCTTTGTGCATTATAATCCTAAAATATGTAAAGGAGTTATAAAATGATATATGCTAAAGTTTTATATCATATTTACAATC